AATGTTTGTTTAGTTTGAAGAAAAACTAAAAGGAAGGGAGAAGTACATGAGTAGAATGAGAGATGGACTGGGCAGGGCTTGCTTTAAAAGTCACTCGAGTTCACAGAAATGCTCCGTGTTTTGTATTTGCTGCAGCCTGTCTGTGGCTCCCCGTGCTCTAGGATGAGGCCCAGGGTCCTCACATGGCTGGAGAAGGTTCTGCCGCACCTCAACTGACCTTTGCCCACCTGTTCAGTGTCACGTCTCCCTGCTCCTCCTCTCGCCAAACTCCACATAGCTACACCAGCCCCACGCTGAACTTTTATAGTGTGAGACTCAATCCCCTTGGTGTAGAAAGGGCATTTGAAAAGCATGGGAAGGAATGCTGGCAACTTCCAGGAACAAAGACCAGCCCCTGCTGACAGCCAGTTAGGGAATGAGGACTTCAGTCCTCCAGCTACAAGGAACTGAATCCAGCCAACATCCTGAACAAGCTGGAATGCAAATTTATCCTCAGAGCCTCCAAAAAGAAACCCAGTCCTATGAACACTTTGATGTTATCAGCCTCATGAGACTTAAAGAAGTGGTTTCACCAGGTGAGCCCCATTGTACCCAGACTTCTGGCCTTCAATACTGTGAGAGGCATGCATGTGGCTTTAAGCCAAGTATGCGGTTATTTGTTACAGCAGCAAGGGCAAAACTAATACAACCATCAAGACCTTCACAACAGAAGCACATAAATCCCTCTGGCCAAAATGCGCTATTATGGCCCCTTCCTACAAGGCACAAAACAAATTGGAGGTTTCTGTGGGACAGCAGAGAGAGGCTCCCCCACAGACATCCCTCCTTCCTCTAGGAAAGGTATATAAGCCCTCAGGAAGGATGCCAGGGAAGATGAAGGGAAAGTCCACATGCCCAGCCCACTCATGTAGCTAAATCCACCTGCTGAGTAGTAAGACACAGGAAGTCATCTTGAGAGGGCCCTGAATGCCTCTTACAAATACTATAAACACTCAGTAACATATCTCCTTCAATGACTGAGTGCATATATCCCAGAGATAATATTTCTTTTTTTTTTTTAAGACAGTCTCACTACGTCGCCCTTTGTAGAGTGTTGTGGCATCACAGCTCACAGCAACCTCAAACTCTTGGACTTAAGCGATTCTCTTGCCTCAGCCTGCCAAGTAGCTGGGACTACAGGTGCCTGCCACAACACCCGGGTATTTTTTTGGTTGTAATTGTCATTGTTGTTTGGCAGGCCAGGGCTAGGTTTAAACCTACCAGCTCTGGTGTATGTGGCTGGCGCCCTAGCTGCTGAGCTATAGGCCTTGAGCCCCACTGCTAATATTTCATATATCAACCCACCCTGTACTCATCAGAAAGCCAACTCTTCAAGTATTTTAATTGAGGGCAGTTCCTAGAAGATACCTGACACATAATAATCACTCAATAAATATTGTTCAATGAATGAGCAAATTATTAAGTAAAAAAAATAGAGAATGCCTAACGGAAACTGCTCTTATTCCCAAAGAACTTTAAGGATGCAATGGCATTCTGACATCCAGTATTAATTTTCATGTGAGGTATGAACTGAGGCATAAAGAACAATCTATAGGATATGAGGCCTTGGCAATATCTGGGCAAAGAATGCAGTTTTTCACGGAAACACTCCCCAGGACCTCTTTGCTTGGTATAACTCTGAAAGTTCTTACATAGGTCTATCGAAGAAGATCATCTTGCCAGCAACTGTTTTCAGCACATAATTTCTATTGCTCATGTCAATTAAACTACCAAATTCTATTTATTGAACACCTAATATGTGCCAGGCCCCATGCCAGGCTCTCCATATAAAGAGGTTAAAAGGTTAGGTGATTAAGTTTGGAAACTCATCCTAGAAAAAAGGTTACTTTTGCCTGACCACCATAGTCACCAGATGGCCAAGAGGCGTATGCTGAAAGCAACCCTAGTGATATACAACAATGAGGTACGTAGCATTTATTCTAGGGCGAGTTCACAAACTTAATTGTCAGACCGTGTATATAACAACAAAGGGATATATACACACATGTATTATCTGTTTGTAAAAGAAGAGTAATCTGAGGCTTATGGAGGCTAAATATTTGAGGTCAATGCTGTAAACTGCTGAGGCAATATTTGAACCCAGATCCAGCTGACACTTCCACTCTGCTATACTTTCCCTGCGTTGTCAAACACTATGATCCAGGGGTCATCCCAAGGATAGACTGAAGGAGACCCAGGAGGAAGAGTCACAATATCTTTGGCTGTAAAATAAGGAAACACTCCACCACCATCCCCACAACACACATACACACATAAGGAGAAAAAATGTTTCAAAATATGTCTCTCCTGAAGATGCGTTTTGGATAGACAAACACACTGACAGAACAGTTTCCCTCCCTATGATGGGCCTGACATCTGGTTGCTGGTCCTGTTGCACTTCTTGGCACAATTAACCCACCCATGTGTAATGTCATCACATGCCACATCCATCTACCATCACTAATGTGGAAATTTCAACCAAATGGCTGGAGAAAAAGCTGCTTAATGTAAATCAAATATCAATCCCAGTACTCTAATTAATGCTCTACTTAATTCAATAAATAAGAGTCACATTTTTATAATGCTTAGAGGTCATTTCATCCCAAAGTCATCCTCCAAAATCATCTTGACATAGAATAATCCTGAGCACTCACTATATTCTAATGTAAGAGCCTCATTTTCTAACTTTATGAAGACAGGTCTCTCAGCAACAGCAGAGAGACCAGGGCAGAACATGAGATGCTCCCCAAACCCAAGAGCTACGTAGGAAACACGTAGCAGCCACCTTAATCAGCACCTAGTGAAAATCAACGGATTCACAAGGCACAACCACAACACAACAGGATGAGACTGAATGCAGCTGACAGTTCTGAAGGGACACTTCTATGCAGTGCTAAGCTGCTAATCCTCCCAAACAGAGACATATTTTCAAGTTGAAACCTAGGCTGTTAATGGTGAGTCGATGATGGCTATCCTGTCATCCTTCTCTGAGTATGAATCAGACATTATGTGAACAGAGGAATTTTACTGGGTTGTGCATACATAGGAAAGTAAAGAGAAGTAAAAAACGATGAATGGTCACCAGAAAAATTACTCTGTCTTCTAAAAACACCTATCTTTCCAAAATTGGAATCATTCTGACTGAGAGGATGAACATTTCTATCTTATAGTAAAAAGCAGCCCAAAACAGTCCAAAGAAATGGTTCAGTAATACCTTTTTGTATCATTTGTAATAACCTTTGACTCTCTGTATCTCACAATCCATAAAGGGCCAACAGATGTAGTAACTGCCTATATAAGTGAGCTTCTCTAACATTTTAGGTCAGTTACTTAGGGTTGCAAATACCCCCATACATAAATATATTTTATTTGAAATTATACTACAAAAACATTAACCAAGAGAATCCCAAACCACTGAACAAAGCACTTGGTACTTAAAAGAATAAAATAAAATAGAAATACTGAAACTTCTGGACTCAAACAAAAGCAGATCTTAAGCATTAGGCCTAAGCCCTTCATACGGACCAGTTTGGGTGTCCACCACAGAGGCACCTATACCCAGTTCGACTACTACCTTCATCTCAATGCAGCCGCAGCATTATAAATCACATAGGATACAAGAACTTGATGGTCATTGGAGAGAATAAACCCTGAGATATGTTTTTTAAGGTCACATAATATGATCTAGGCACAGGGGCCAGAAACCAAACATTCTTAGTAACGCTGTAAAAACCCAACTCTCCATAAAGAGCCCATGCTGCACAAGAGTCCAAAGCAATTACAATTTCATGTTATTATGATGAAGAGCATCTCTCTCCAGGCACATCCTTCCCACCAGGCTCCTTCCCTGGTTTTAAGAGAACCTACTGGCTGGGTGCTATGGCTCACACCTGTAGTCCTAGCATTCTGGGAGGCCAAGGCAGGAGGATTGCTTGAGGTCAAGAGTTCAAGACCAGTCTGAGCAAGAGCAAGACCCTATCTCTACTAAAAGAGTGGAAAAAGTGAGGCAAGTGGATCACTTGACTCCAGGAGTTTGAGGTTACTGTGAGCTATGACAATACAGCACTCTACCCAGGGCAACAGAGTAAGACTCCATTTTAAAACAAAAAGAGAGAACTTACTGACAGATCATAGTAGTATGGGGTAAGCAGAAAAACAGGATTCAGATGTTAAATGATTCTGTTGGAGGGGCATTTCACCAGAGCTCTCAAAAAACCCTGAGAAATATTTGTTTTGCTACTATATACAATACTCTGATGACCAAAACCTCAGGCCCACCTGCATTCTTTGGTTAAGAATGAACAGGTATTCTCATGGAGTACTTCTCTGAACTACCCACTCAACTTCTAGGCTAATCAAACTTTGTTGGGAGTTTTTTTTTCTTTGAATGCAGTTTTGTTTTAATTAAGATAATTATTGGGTACAGGGGAAGAGGCCTTCAATTCCAGGGTTTTCCATCTATGAAAGTCCACGGTATCTTTTTTCTGATGGGCTTTTTTTTTTTTCAGTTTTTGGCCGGGGTTGGGTTTAAACCCACCACCTCCGGCATATGGGGCCCGTGCCCTACTCCATGGAGCCACACAGTGCCGCACTCTGATGGGCTTTTAAAAGTGTGAATAGATATCCATCTTCCCATCAATGGTTTCAAAATAATTTTTTATATCTAGGGAACTCTTTCCTCAGATGAACTTTTACTTAGAATTGTGGAAAGGCAGGTCTTCTCTAATTGAAACAGGCACAAGGTACTGTGGGCTTGAACCCAGCTACACTCAGTTTATTCTTCCCCCATGTAGCTCCCAGGAGATGGTCCAAAAGTTTTAAAAAAACTTAAAATGCCACTGAATTAAACTCTCAGCCAGTCCTATTTTTTCTACAAAAAAAAAGTCATGTTGTCCAAGAAAAAAATTCACATTCCAAAAGCATTAGCGCTTGAATTTCCTCCACAGAGCGAGTCTACTTACCAACACCGGTTTCAGGATGTCCACGTTGGAACGAAGCATGCGTTCTGCTTCATCCAGTCTCTCCCTTGGTAGACCACAAAGCTCGGAAACTTCTTGGTCGCCAACTTGAATCACCTCTCCGAGTCTTGATCCATTGCACAGATTGGTCAAATGTAACTGGTAGCCTTGCAAAAACACCTGGAAGCATTTCATGCAAAGGGAAAGACAAGCAAAACTGGGTTACAAAGACTGGAAACTGGAAGCTTGCAGTCTCTGGGGAGCTTCACATCAAGATGTAAAAGATGTTAGAAATGGCAGCATTGCAACACCCCTCCGCTGTTTCTCTTTACGAAACTCTGAAAGGTATCAAGGCACAAGGAACAACCACAGGACATTTTAAACCTGCAGGTTTTGTTTGACAAATATTTTGCACACTCATGTTCCTCTTGCAAAGGGAAACCCTGAGTTTAACTCCTTTTTTCCATAGTGGGATACACAATTCAGCAAATAGGAATCCAGAGTCTGAACTCCTGAAACCACTTTCATTACAAGAGGAAAAACATCCTCTTTATTTTACTATTTATATCTTGAATTGGGATTGGGCTGAATTAATAATGGGGAGGGTCCTTCATGCTACACGTATTTATCTGTTGGTAGAGATATTTAACTGATGCACAGAACTATGTTCAAGTAATTTCAGAATTTGGAATCCTTCCTTTTACTTGCCCCAGAGAACAGTGCTACAAAGCCAGTCTTCTTATCATCCCACTGGTGGCCAATTTTAAATCATTCTCATCTATTCCCTTAGCAAACCTACTAGAAGGCCTCTCCTTGGTCATATTTTGTTTACTCATTTGTCTTTTGGGGCCTAAGTAAACTGTTCTTCTTCATATATGGTCCTTATTGTCCAACAGACAGCAAGCGCTTTAAGAAGAGAAGCCCTTATTTTTTCTGCTCATTTTGTATCCACAGTGCTAAAACATTATAGACAGTAATTATTTGTTGAATTAATGTGATACAGGTTCTTTATTACATCATTGCTACCCCCTGTTAAATTGGTACAGGCTGACCTGCTTGTAGAACAACTTAATGTGAATGATGGACCAAAAACCTCTCAAAATTCATGCAGCTTTCTAAACACAACAGAGCATCTTGGTCTCCATTACATTTTCACATGCTGCCAGGTACTCGAGCACATTTCCGTTTTACTCCTTTCTTTAACTGGTCCTTGCTGCCAGATCATCAGCCTACCTTTACTATGTCTGTTTAAAAATACTGACAAGCACAGAAAACTGTAATTACCACACAAAGACCACCTCCATGCTTAGGGTGCCCTTTATTTTAAACTGATCAGATGTGACAGATATGAAATTGGCAGGGGGCAATGGAAATTATGCTAAATGCAACTATTTTCAAAAAGCCGGCTGCCTTTGGCCCATTTCCCAACCGCACAATTGGTAAACACAAAGCGTATTTTCCTAGTCTCAGAAGGGCAAGCAGTAAGCACATTTTCCTAATTTTAAAAATTCTAGATCATGTGAAGCAAAAACCTTGTTTGCAAGTATAAACATTTCCACCACTTCTGCTTATTGTAAAGACAAGCATGTGTAGACAAGAGACAGGGCAAGGAAGCAGTTCCCCTTTCTGCCAGAGAATTAACTTGAGAAGCATCTCTGGAAAATCAATAACCATGCGATCTGGGTCTGCTACCCCCTACACAGGAGCTATATAATAATTAATGATGCCAGAGCAAGTGCACAAGTTTGTTTTTTGGTTTTTGTTTTTTAAGATTCTTAGGTTAACATGCTATATAAACACTAATATTCCTTCCTGGTTTTATAAATTCTTAAAAATTCTCTTTCTATACGTTTGTCTATCTTTAAAAGAAGAATAAGTTTTTAAAGTCTCCTGTCTTAGACTTTATAAAGAGACCTGCTCCAGATCAATACTCCTCAACCCTGGTTATTATCTCAGAACTGTGAAATTTTTTGTGTTCAAAATCTAACTCAGGTTAAAATGGAACCCTTTTAGGAGGAAGTCATCACAAATACCAATTGACAGGCAGGAAATCAATTTTACTTCAACCAGCTGGCCCATGACGCCAGGTTGCACATTCCACTCTACAGATGGTTCACCAGTTCCAGCCTGAGAAGGAAAGTAAAATCAGGTGGATCTCCAGCTAACTACCTCCTTCATCATCATTGCAAGGAGAGGGTTTTTTTTTTTTTTCATTTCTTTCCAGGTGCTTGAACAATGTAACTACCAACAGTCTCACTGAGAAAGCTGAAGGCGGCACTTACCTGGTGGAGACTGATACCCGCCCTCAGCACTCTGTCCACAGTAGGCCTTGGGAGAGACAGGTTGTGATATAGGAACCCAGAGAAGGTCTCATTGTCCACCAGGAAATCCTGAAGCTTCAAGTCTACAGAGAAATAGTGTTTTGTTTTTATTTAATAAGTAACTCCCCTACCTCCCCTCCCCCGCCAAAAAAGTCAGCGCAATGAAGCAGGAGGAGAAAAGTACTGTAATATTGATGACCACAAGGCTTCTGGTTTAAGCACACAAAGAAATGAACTGGGGGAGCTTTGCTTTATTAGGAGAGGCATGAAAAGATTGCTTTCTGATAATACAGTGACCCACACTCAGCGTGTGCTCCTAAACTCAAGCAGTGTGACAGTGCTGTTATATACACGCAGTCTGTCTTTGCTTTTCAAGCAAAAAGCCAAAGCTTTGAAACAATCTTGCCCATGCCACCTGAGGCTTGTGACACTAATCCCATCACTCCTGTCTCCCCCTGTCTCATCTCACATAGTTAAAATCAGAGACATTGAAAGCCTTATTCCAACAAGCTGCAGGGGCTGCTCTGTCAATGCAGGGCCAGCAATGGTTCTCAGACTTGAATGTGCATGAGAAAATCACCAGGGCTTGTTAAACCACAGACTGCTTGACACCACCCCCAGCGTTTCGGATTCAGTGGGCCTGGGATGTGGCTGGCAAATCTGCATTTCTAACAAGCCCTCAGGTAATGCCCATGCTACTAGTGTGGGGATGGCACCTTGAGAACCACCGGTGTAAAACATTATGCATCTCCAACTGCTTTCACAGACAGAGGCTCGTTTCAATTCCAAACATAAGACATGTGATACGAAGCTCTGAAACTCAGGTCAGCCTTGCTTCAGGAGGATACATAAGCATACTGCCCTACTACATGATTTGATTGCGAAAGGATTTCATACAAAATCCCTTTAAATGATAAGCCCTCTCGGTACATTTAGAAAAGGCTTCAACCCAGTGTAGTGAAACAGAAAAAGCCCTTCCCTGAAAACTGGAATTGGAATCCTTAGAGTTGAAGGCTGTGACGGGTCATATCACCTTTCTGAACCTCAGTTTCTTCATCTCCAAAAAAAAGGTTTCTGACCAGATATTCAACACGTGCCCTCTGACTCTGAAACACTATAGCTTTCCCTGACTTATTTCCCTTGACTGTCTGTCTACCTCTTCTCCTTCCACCCATCCTCCTAATAACCTTACTTCTTCCTTGCAATAAAAATAAAATCAGTTCACCATGACCACCTAGGCCAGGCTGTCATCATTCCCAGAGCTGCAGCCTGCAGGCTGGGCACTAACCAACCTCTAGGGGGCAAACTTTGCAAACCCAAGTCATGAACCTTAAGAGAAACAGAGGTCTGCTCTGAAGCTGGGGTTCCAGTGTGAAGAGCCCAGTGAAGACAGGAGTTAATCCTGGGAGCTAAGGAGATCACGTGTATAGATAAAGTAGCAGGAGGGCACCTACAGCCAACCAGATTCTCATAGTGCAGAATGATCTAGGTGTACTCAGAGTTAAGCAAACATCAGTCATGTAAGAGTTATAGAAAGAATATTTAAGATTCATGCACATCTCTAAAGAAATGACTCTCCACCACACCTAGCTGGTGTGGCTAGCTCCTACTTATGCCTCATGACACCCAGAAGCTCTCCTAGGCCCAGTGAGTGTCCCTCCTCAGAATCTGCACTCCTACAAACTACCACCTGCCCAGTGTGCCCCATTACATGTGACATGACACTATTACCATCAAGTGCACTTCTGTAGTCATCAAACTTCACAGCACCCGCGATTCACTTAAGGAACATGCAAAAATGTGGTTTCTCGGGTCTAATCCACAGAGATTCTGAACTAGTTAATCTAGAACAAGGACCCATGAATCTAGACCCATTTTTAATAAGCATCTAGTACAGGGGGCCTGGGGACCATATTTTTAAAACATTGTTTTACTTGCATATTATCTCCACTAGACTATGTCCATAAGATGCAGAATATGTGTTTCATCATAGTATCAACCAAGCCTACATCAGGGCCTGGCACAGAATTACTGATCAGTGAAAGAAAGCAGAATACTAAATACTATGACATAGAATTGGGTCTGAGAAGATTCCAGAAGTATCTAAGCAGCATCTCAAGAAATTTCCTTCCAGTTGAGCAGGTCCAAGAGGAGCCCAGAGATGTCAGAACCATCCCTAGGCCACACTACAGAAGCAAATAGTACTCCTAGGAAAAAGTGGCATCCAGGGTATCTGTGTGGTGGATGTAAACAGGAGAGAAGGAAGGTAAGCTGGTGGCTTCAGTGGAGGCCAGTATGAAAAGCCACACACTGCCTGACTACTGTACAATAATGGGAAAAGCACCACCCTGGGAGTCAGAAGCCTGACTCTGATACGGAAGATCTGAATGGGTAGAAACAGGTTTTATATCCATTTATTTACCAGGTCATTTCACCTAGTTGTGCCTCCACCGCCTCGCCAATAAAGCTAAGAGTCAAAAAAAAGCCTCTGTGAACCCTTGACAGAAACAAAATAAATACATGAGCTAACCCTCACTGACTAGGCAAGCCACAATTCCCTCCTGAGCAGAGCCAGGGCAGTACACAACATTGCACTGGGGAACTTTGAAACAGCTCCCTCCCTCCCAGGCAGGGTGGCAGAAGTGTGGGAGGTCAACCCAGGCTGCACTTGCAATGGGTCTAGGTCACCAGCAACACTCTCCAGACCCGCGGGTGTGCTCTGCGTGTTTATAAGGCTCTTCTGTTATGTCAACAGGATCTGAGGATGAGAACAGCTGGATGTGATCAAACTCCAACCGCCTATCTGTGAATCCCCTGGATGAGACACAAGAACCAAGAAGCTGATTAAACAGTCAACAACCCTCAGCAGTGCACGTGAGTGGTATGGTGGAATCACTGGGCGGGGGAGCACAGGGAGGGCCAAAGAGCCCTGGCCACAAAGAACTTGCAGCTGATCACATGGACATCCACACATGTGGGCTTAGACTCACACGCCGCCCAGGCAAATGTAGGAAGGCAATGTGGTTCTCCACCATGGCTCCCTGACAAACTCAACTGGGAGCTTTAAAAGCTTCCAAAGCCCAGGCCACACCCAGAAACAACCAGAACTGTTAGGGGTAAGACCCAGGCATCAAAACGTTTTACTAAACTGCCCAGGTGATTCCAGCCAAGTTTGGAAAATAATGAGGGAAAGATCAGGGTTTGGGAGCAGCAAAACCTAAGTTTGGTGCTGCATCTGCTGTGAATTGCCTGCATGATTGTGAGAAAATCCCTCTGCCTTTTTGAGTTTTCTTACCTATGAAGTGACGATAACAGTATCCTCCCTTTCCAAGATATAAGGACTAGAAAATACTTGTCTTGAAGGTACTCAACAAAGGAGAATAATTTTGTTATTATTGAAAAGGTTTTCTCACTCAACTTTACCAGTGTATGGCAATGCAGAAAGATGGGGACACCATCCCTACCATCAAGAAATTTTCAGGGATAATAAAGGAGATGAAGAGGAAAATCAACTGGAGAACACAGAAGGAAGGATAAGACAGGGAATGGAAGCATTTGCCCAAGATAAGGTTTATCTGCAAGTGCTTCATGGGGAAAAATCAGGCTAGAGCTAAGATCTAGAAAAGAATAGAGGGCCAAAAATCCCCAGAAGCTGTGGCTGGTGAGGAGCTGGTAAGATCTTCCATGAAGGTGATGACCAGGATATCTCTCAGTCATAGAGTCATAGAGTCATGTACATAGTAGGTTCTCAATAAATGTTTGTGAATGAATAAATAAGTGAACAAGCAGATTAATAAAGACTCCTCAAAACCTAAGATTTGGCAGTAGGCAAGAAGAAGTAAGGAGGTGGGAGTTGTGAGGACAGAGCAGGATGGCTTTGTACCTGCTGGTGTCAATCCTTTGCATTAGGTTGCCAGAAGGAAAATGGGTCTAAAACAGCCGTTCTCTGCCCTCTTAACCATCTTCATGACCTGGTCCAGGATTCACCTCGTCCAGGAAGGCTGCCCTGACCCTCCCACCTATAAGCTGGGTTGGGTAGCCCTCTTTTGTACCCAGACAGCATCCTATTTTTCCCTCAAGTAAGAGATCAAGCTGCAGTTGTCTGTGCACACATCCTTTCCCCAGAAGAATAGGAATGCCTCGAGGGCCAGGATTTGTACCTCCAAAGAAAGCAGCGCCTGGCACAGAGGAGGCCCTCAGTAAATGCTGGATGTCTGAATGAGTGAATGAACACAAATGAGTAAATAAATCAGTGACTTGATATGATCTGGGAAACTGTCACTGTGGAGAAGGAAATATACCTTGCAGTGGGTTAGGGAAGAGACAGAGCAGGACATGAATGTGAAACACACCAGGTCAACCTGACAGGAGAGTTCCAGCAAGCCTACATGCCACGTTAGCCCAGGTCAAGAGCAGGTACCGGAAAGTGATAGCTGGGAACAGAGTAGGGAATAGGACAGAGGGAGGCTGAGTCAATTAAATGATGAAATGGAGATGACCACAGCATCTACCTCACTAGGCAGAGCTAGGTGTTCAATGAGAAAACATCCCTGCAGATCCGTAGAAAGCCTGGCACTGAGTCAGGCGTTCAGTAAAGGATGGCTGGTTTCATCTTTTTCAGGAATGACTCATCTCATTAGCTTCACTGTTAATTTAACCCTAAAGCATATTCAGAAGCAATAAGAACACAGAAGCGACCCTGCCAACTAAGCTGAGAAGTTGAGATCTAAGGCATGTGTGTGCCTATGTACGTGTGCGTGATGCGTTTGCCCACTTGAGTCCCTAAGTCACAATTACTGAGTGCTTTCTGCTGATACTGCCTTGTAAGGTGAAGGAAAGGCTGAAGCTGACTGATTTGTCTACTCAGAACTTCATAAAAGAATATATAGGCTCGGTGCCTGTGGCTCAAGCGACTAAGG